GAACTATAAAGAAGGAAATTAAATACTTTTTATTTAGGTAACTAAATTATTTTCTAATCCCAAGATTATGGGTATGGGAAGAAAGGGTATGAAGAGGAATGTCATTTCAAGCACTCATTTAATGTTAATTTTTCATTTTCCACTGCTTGCCATCAACTAGGGAATGACTTACCTAAAATGATTATTAAAAAAAATGGTTTCACTTCTTTGATCAGGAAGCTCAGAACAGTAACTATGAAGTTAGTAATGGTTTCAGTATTATTGCAAGTCATAATGGAAATGATTTGCACTATGGTAGAGAGAAAAAGGAAAAAAAAATCCTAAGAATTGTTAATTAACTTCACTGTTTCTCCACAAATGCTAGGAGTATTAAAAACAAGATTGCTGAAGTGCAAACATCAGGATTTAATGAACAATGGGATGTAATTGAAGTAACAGAGAATGACTTAATCGGGACAGTGCGTTGTTTAATTATGGGGATAATGGATCTTCTGAAAGGGACAAACTAAATGGAACAGAAGGAGCTGGGGATGGTGGGGAGAGCTGCTGTGTTCGAGGAAGTGTGGAGACGTGAAACTCTCACGAGAGGTGGTGAGGACTCTGTTACCGAGGAAATAGTTTATTGAACAACAGAACTGTCCCCAAAATGTAACGACTGGGTGCAAAAAGACCCAGGGGGCAGGCTGGCAGAAATCGTCAACGGACCATAGTGCAGGCGTAAAGATTTCTACAGGCACATATCTGTGCTTTTTCTAAGAATTTCTAATAATCTTAAAGACTTTCTCATAGATATGAGAAGGAGGGCAATAATATGTTTGTCAGAACACTGTTTCCCAGGGTGCCAAGATGCTATCTCTCAGATATAGCAGATTGGCAGGCTCATTTCCTGGGTTTAAGAGTTCAAAAAACCATTTCTCGCTTAACTTTGATTATAAGTCAACCTTCTCTTGCTAATTCAGCACACTTGCTAGGAGTTATTGGGTTTTCTCATCTCCTCTTGAAAGTGAAGCCCATGTCCCTTCTCCCGTGTGTTGTACCTTCCTGGAACTGAAATCCTCATGCCTTCCTTGGCTCTCCCAAAGTTTCAGGCCATCTGCTCTGAAATCACCCTTGCAACACAAGACACGGTGCACATGAGGCCTGCCCGAGATTCTCCAGCAATGAAATTGAACATTGCCTAAAATGTTGCAAAGGGAGAAAAACCACAGAGCAATCAGGCTTATTCCTCTGCCAGCTGTCAAATATAAATCCCCTGATGTGGGAGGAAGACAGAGTCCTGCATGTGCGCAGGCCTTCCCCTATGCGGGCATTCGGGGGGATGATCACGTCAGGGCAGGCTCTTCACTGACCGCCAGCCTGCAGCACCGTGATGGACCAGGAGGGTTCTTGCCATACTAGACCAAGTGTGACTGTATGGGGCTTTGCTCAGATTTGAGGAAAGACAGAGGAATTTTCCTCCCAGGACGCACCGAAGGATTACTTCTCTGAGCCCATTTGTCAGTATAATGATTTCATCTATAAGGAGTTGGCAGGATGTCTTCATGTTCTAGAAAACACCCCATACCTCAGGGAGAACACATCCTAATCTTAGAGGTGTGAAACCTAACTTTCACGTTGTTATGTGAGGTGCTGTGTTTCTGAGAACCAAGCCACACAGGAGTTTGGGGCCTCTTTTAAATGTGTCCCTGTCATGGCACCAGGCTCTGGTATTTCAAGTTGCTAAATGTGGCTGCTCTTGATTTTTTCTCTTTTCTTTCCTTGAAAGAATTTACACACACACACACACACAGAATTGAGTTTGTTTAGCATACCTTGGTTTTCAATTACATAAACCACCTCAGGCAAATTTAGAAAATCAAGATTGTAAACCACTGGGTATACATGACTGGGGCGGGGGGTTGGGGGGGGAGGTAAGAGAGAAAGAGGGAGGAGAGGAAGAAGAAGA